ACACCACCCCTCGGTGTTCACACAGCACCCCTCGGTGTTCGCACACCGCCCCTCGGTGTTCACACACCGCCCCTCGGTGTTCACACACCACCCCTCGGTGATCACACACCACCCCTCGGTGTTCACACACCCCTCGGTGATCACACACCACCCCTCGGTGTTCACACACCCCTCGGTGATCACACACCACCCCTCGGTGATCACACACCACCCCTCGGTGTTCGCACACCACCCCTCGGTGTTCACACACCACCCCTCAGTGATCACACACCACCCCTCGGTGTTCACACACCACCCCTCGGTGTTCGCACGCCACCCCTCGGTGATCGCACGCCACCCCTCGGTGCTCGCACGCCACCCCTCGGTGATCGCACGCCACCCCTCGGTGCTCGCACGCCACCCCTCGGTGCTCGCACGCCACCCCTCGGTGTTCGCACGCCACCCCTCGGTGTTCGCACGCCACCCCTCGGTGTTCGCACGCCACCCCTCGGTGTTCGCACGCCACCCCTCGGTCATGCGTGGCTCTTGTGGGATGAGCCACACAGAACCAGACCATCAAGGTTCGGGGCACCCCAGCAGGTTCCATGCTCCTGCAGGAGAGGACGGGCCCTTTAAATAGGAGGATCCCGTCCATGGCAATCACAGTCCGACCCGGCTTCGTCCTCACCTACCCAGCTTCTTCACAGGTGCTTCTGCTGCCTTGAGAGTAGCGATGGCTGCTGTCCAAATATAGCACCCTTGCCTTAAGCTTTAAACTGTTTGCTTAGACAACAGTCTTCAATATGCCCTTTAAGCTGGGCACCGGTGGCTCACGCCTGTCATCCTAGCTACTTGGAGAGATTGAGATCAGAGGATTGCGGTTCAAAGCCAGTCTGGGCAGGAAAGTCCATGAGACTCTTATCTCCAATTAACCGCCAGAAAACTGGAAGTGGTGCTGTGGCTCAGGTGGTAGAGCGCTGGCCTTGAGCAAAAAAAGCCTAAAGACAGTGCCCAGGCCCTGAGTTCAAGACCCAGGACCCGGAAAACAACAACAACAACAACAAGGCTTTCTAGTGAGAGAAATGAACTTTTCTGCATAAGTTTCAGAGTATGAGGAGAACGTCCCTGCTCATAGGGGGAAGACAAACCCTGGGACACCAGAAAGGAGAGTGTGGGAAAGAGCAGGACTAGAGAACCAAAACCCTATATGACCACTCACAAACTCTGAGTCCTATCCCATACCAAAACACATGCCCTAACGCCAAGCAAAAGCACTCCCTAACCATAACACATCGTCACCAGAGCTCATACCCCAACCCGACCCCACGCCCTAGCATGGACCTCTATTATGCACCCTCCCCTGTTCTGTGACCTGTTTCACAAACCACTCCCAGAACCCTCACCCATCCCACAAGGTCCTCCCTCTTCTGTTCCCTAGCCCTCAACGTTTCCTAAACTCTTACCTTAAAACCTTTCCTAACAGAATCTCCAACCTCACACTGTCTACCACAACCCCTAGCCCACCCCCTGGGCCTGACCCATTCTATAACCCTAATCCTCCCCAGTCCCTTGCCAGACTTCACCATCTTTCCACAACACTGACCTTAATCCTCACTTATCCCTTAACTCGAACATGCTCTGTGAAGCTAATGGGAAACCCAACACCTGCTCCAACCTGTTTCTGAGCCATACATAAACACTTAATTCTAAGCCGGGCACCGGTGGCTTATGCCTGTCATCCTAGCTACTCAGGAGGCTGAGATCTTAGGATCAAGGTTCAAAGCCAGCCCAAGCAAGAATGTCCATGAGATTGTTATCTGCAATAAACCACCAGAAAACCAGAAGTGGCACTTTGGCTCAAGTGGTAGAGTGCTTGCTCACCTTGAGCTGAAGAGCTGAGGGACAGCACCCAGGCTGAGTTAAAGCCCCACGACCCACAAAAACAATAGAAAGAGAGAGAGAGGGAGGGAGGGAGGGAGGGAGGGAGGGAGGGAGGGAGGGAGGAAGGAAGGAAGGAAGGAAGGCAGGCAGGCAGGCAGGCAGGCAGGCAGACAGACTAGTGTGGAGGGCAATCAGTCACAATTGTAAGGTTTTAGGTGAGGAAGGAACACACGGGAGGAGGTAAAGGTGAAGAAAGAAAAGTCTATTAGTGTACGCTAATGGGTGAACTCCCTGGTCCGGACCAGAGAGGTCCCATAGAGTCTGGTTGTGGCAGGGTTTATACGGCTGGGGTCAGCGGGAACTTTTGAGCAGTTTCAGGCTAGTTCCTCCAAGAACCTTTGGGAAAGGTGGTGGGTATGGAAGTGGCTTTTCTCGGCTGCCTGGGACCTGCAGCGGCCTGTCAACCATCACTCCATTTTGCCGCTGAGTGGGAATGGCCAAGTACCAATAAAACCCTGTTTGGGAATACTGCCATTGAAGTTTCTCGGGTGACAACATGATCCTTGTGTCATTTTCTCTGCGGTGCCGAGTGGACCTGAGGGCCTTGCCTGGTCACTGAACCACACCCAGGCCGGGGTGCGTTCAAGACCTTGTCTTTTGGTGGGATTTGTCCGTTTGTGCCTCTGCTCTCTCCTTGGGGCGGGAAGGGTGGGCGTTTTTCTGAGATGACCTTTTCTCTCCCCACATGAAGGGACACCCTAACTTTCCCGCTGCCCAGCTGGGGGGTGTCTCTCTTCAGGGGCTCCTCTGCCTTTGTCCTTGTGTGCCTCTGCAGAGCAGCGGCCGCTGGCACACCCCCAGGCTCCGCGTCCCCTCCGCGCAGCCCTGAGCCGGCTGGGCATCAAGCTGACCACCTACCTACGTCTCCTGTCTCTGAGAAAAGTTGAGACCAGCTCCTACTCAGACATCAAATGTCCAAATCAAAAGGTCCCTCCTGGGCTGGGAAGGTGGCTCAGTGGTAGAGTGCATGAAGCCCTGGGTTCGATTCCTCAGTGCCACTCGCACAGAAAGAGCCGAGAGTGGCTCAAGTGGTAGCCAAGGGGCTGGAGAGGGGTGGGCGGGGCGGGGCTGGACTGGGCGTGGCCACGGGCTGTAGGGGTGGGCGTGGCGAGGGCGGGGCTGGAGAGGGTGGGCGGGGCGAGGGGCTGGATGTGGGCGTGGCCACGGGCTGGAGAGGGTTGAGGACAGGGGTGAGGGCCGCGGCTGGAGACGGATGGGACGGGGTGAGGGCGGGGCTGGAGAGGGATGGGACGGGGCGAGCTGGATGTGGGCGTGGCCACCGGCTGGAGAGGGTTGGGGACAGGGGTGAGGGCGGGGCTGGAGAGGGATGGGACGGGGCGAGCTGGATGTGGGCGTGGCCACCGGCTGGAGAGGGTTGGGGACGGGGTGAGGGCGG